AAAAATCCGCTTATTTTTTAATTATTTATAGTAAAATTGTTATATTTTATACTAATTATGTGTAATCATATTTTATTAAATGTATATAATGGTTAGTAAAAGCAAATAGTTATTATTAATGCTAAATAGTATATGAAAGTTATATAATCATCAAAATTCTATTCCAATTTATTTTTTTCAGGATATTTATTTTGAAATCAATATTATCTTTTTTTTTTTTACTTCTAAATATTTTTTAAGAAATCAACTAATTATTTTTAATGGGTAGCCAAATTGCATAATAATAATATATCTATAATTATTATAATATTTTTTTAGATAATTAATTGTCTATATATGGTCCTTTAACATTATAAAAATTATGTTATCTATTACACATTATGCAATCAATATAGTGATTTAGGTAGAGTTAAATTAATTTATATTTATGGTGTTCATTTAATAACATTTAAAAAATATAATTCATCCCTTATCTATTTTATAATTTTAATATTATATATACATGTAATTTATAGTACTTTATAATTAAGGATTTCCACGCACGGCAAAGCTCACTTCAAGAACTGTTGCAGTTTAAGAGTTTTAAATGCAAAATAATTATGTCAAATCTAACGTTTCATCTAAAATCGTACATCAAGCTACACTTTTTTTAGGACTGTAAATTGTGTAACACATTGAAATAACAATAATGAATAATGATCAACCTTAAAAGGAAAAATGTTGAAAAACTAAATAAAATATGATTGGCCGAAGATCTGAAAGGTTACCTAAAAGCTTTAGCTGGTACTCGTGTAAAACGATAACCATACTTTTGAAAGTATCCAAAGCAAAAAACAAGTCATGTATAGTGTCTCCTTTCTCCATCTCTCCTTCCTTTTTTATGAATGTTGATTCACTATTTAGTCTATTACAAGTACTCTTACCCAAATTCTTGTTTTTTGGTAACTCAATTTCTTGCATTTATTATGGCTTTTCTCTGCATATTTCTATGTTGCCCATGAATTATATTCAGAGACTTGCCCATTTTGTGGAGTTAAAAGTGCCAAAGATAAACAGAATTGCAACAGTAATTCCAAAATTTTAACTTTCGTTAAAAAATTCTAATTGCAATTGTACTAGTGCGTAGCCCGTGCGATGCACGAGAAAAAAAATATTACGGTTATATTATAAAGTAAATATATAAATATCATTAATTATGATTTATCAATTGTTTTTAAATTAAACCGGGTTGGATACCGTCCGGCCGGATGGACCGAGAACCGGTTTATAACCAGTCTAGTTTGCTTGAATAAATATTTTTTCTCGAATCTGTCCACATCGGTCGGTTGGACTGGTAGGATCGATACGATTTTCCAAATAAATTTTGTTATATTTAAAATTATTTTAAATTAAATTACATATTTAAATAAAATAGAGATTTATAAATTATTTATCAATTAGTTTAAATATTTCAATTTATAAATTATTTAGATATCTAAGTAACATATTTAATTTAAATTTATTACAAAAAGTACTATATATATATTAAAATATTTTTAAATTAAAATCTGAACAAACCACAAATAATTTAATGAAATAGCCGTTTCGATGACGGTCCAGTTCTAAAAACCTTATATTTACTGTATATTAATATATATTATAATAAAATATTATTTAATTTACATAAATATTAATAAAATGATATTTAAATATTCATAAATCATTAAAGATGTTATAATAAAAGTATTGTTAATACGATTATTTGAAGTTTGGACTACATCATATTCACGTAATAAAATATTTTCAATATAAAATTTATATTTAGATTCAATAATCGATTTGGTGTGGTCGAACAGATACATAACTTAGTCACCTGGGACCAACCAAGTTGTGTCAAGTTTTTCGACTATTTTAAATATCACCTAAAAGTAATTCAATCAACCTCGGCAGTACCTTAATTCAATCACTCGATTTGTCTGAAGAAATTTTCGTATATTTTTAAATATATTTAATTTTATGAAATAAAAATATTTTATGATTCATATGATAAATGTCTACACCAAATGATAGTATATTAAGATTATAAATTATATATCTAAAGATGAAATAATTGTTTTTACTTTATGCATATTAATAAAAAATAAACATATTAATTTTCAAAAAATTAAGATTAATTGATTGATTATGCAATTTAAAGAATATTTTTAACGTTCAATATTTCTTAAAGGCACAAATATAAAGACCGAGATTTTAAAATTTTTGTTATATTTTGAATTGAGATTTTATAAATATAGAGACCGAGATTTTAATATTGTTCGTTATTTCTAAGAATCAATAAATAAATAAATAAAAACATACATACTTAATAAATCTTAGCCAAATTTTTTAAATAATAAAATGAACTAAAGTCCGAAATTTAAGGTAGCATTTAATGTTGTATGGTTTTTTAAAGAAAAAAATAAATAAATAATAAAACGTATTATTTATAGACTGCATTAAATTCTAACCTATTTTTTTGCTACTATTTTTGGTAAATGGTAATTCTTATTATATATATATAGATTGTAATGATTTGTTGGAATTTTTATTGGATTTTAACAATTCCAACATCAGCTTTAATTTTCCAACAATTGGAATTATTGATAACATAATAATTTCAATGAAAATTGTATATTCCAATAAATTTTTTACTATTAGAAATAATATTATAGAGTAGCATCGTTGTATTGTAGGCTTGGTTAAGACTCAATTTATAACTTTTTATATGTGTACACACTTTCGTGAATAATACAATACATAATTTCCACACATTCTCACATTTACAATAATGAATTGTTGAGAAAGGCGTTGTTAGAATCACTAAATTCTAACTACAATTTCAAGAAAAATTTAATTCCAATGAAAAATATAAGTGTTGATATCCATTGCAATATTTGGTGAAATTTTCCAACAGCAATAGTAAGAGCATCTCCAATGCTCCACTTTGAACATTAATTAAATTTGAACACATGTCAAATGATGAATGGAATGTAAATCCATGTAATATGAATGTCAAAAGAGAAGACTTTAACTTGGAATGCACATCTCCAATGCATCCCTTTCAAAAGCTTAAAATAGGTTAGATTTTTTATGAGTTGGCTTTCAATCACTCTTTGGAAAATTAGAAAGTGGGCTTCACACTTTGGATGTTTATTATCTCCATGTCAGCATAAAAGAGTCCATAACATTATGGATTGGAGATTAATTTTTGTTTTCACTTTATAACTTGATGATGTGACTAACATTTTATTAAGTCAACATCTCACATTGGAGATGCTCTAATATCATTAGAATATTCATAGGATTTTCTAGTGGAATTAATTTTCTTCATTGAATTTTTCTTTTGATTATTTTTTTAGTGGAGTAAACAAATATGTAAGTTGTATATTGAAAATAAATATTTTGAATAAAAAACTATCTAATGATCACACTCTTCAGTCACATTAGTTAATTTAGAAATTATATTAATTAATCTTAGTTATATTTTAAAATATAATAATACATAAATATAATGGATGGTTTAAGTTTTTTGTGGTAATAATTGACTATTATGTTGATTAAAATTATTAAGGTATCGTCAAATTAACGATTTAAATTAGTAAAATATAAACATACACAATGAGGTATATACCTGTAAATGCTACTCCTATATTGTAAATATGTAGATATATTATATAATATATTTTTCCCAAATCTTGTTAATATAATGAAATGATAATCTTAATATGCTGCAGTTTTTTAAACTATTTACACTATCAAGTTTAAGAGATTTGACAAATAACTTTTAATAAAATGATAAATTTATTTTTTTCAAATTAAAAATCAGACCATTCAATACCCAAAAAGCTTTATCCCTGATTAAAGTTGGAATAATGGAGTTGTTTCAGATCAATTTAGATGAAGTTATGAAGTGCACTTGTTTGTAATTTGTATATTTGGGGTTAGAGAGACTAAAATCGACAAGCTAGTAAATGTTTATCTGCTTGTGTCTTGTGACAATTAATTGCCACTCCTACTTTAATAACTATTTGATCCTACTGACTATGCTAGACTTTATTCCTTAGTGATTTTGAGTTGCAACGATTCAATTATTATACCTGACATACTCTATTTATAAATATGAATATTTAAATTAAAGTATATCATATTTTAAAAATATATACAAAAATATGATATTTAATAATATAAATATATATATATGTTCAAATAGTATGACGGGTGAAGATTAGCTACTTCTGTACAAGAATTTGTATAGTAGATATTATGTATTATAAATAAAATTTACTTGCGTTTTATTTTCCAGGTGGACATATATGTCGTGATCAATTCACTGCGGATTTATCAAAGAGCACCCCACACTTAAAAAACAATTTAACTACTTTTACATCCCATACCCACAATTTCTACCAGACATGTACATGCATATATATAAATATATAATATTAAAATATAAATTAGATAATAATATATTATCTTTCAAATTTGATCATTAATAAAAATAAAATATTATAAATATAGATTATTTAAGTATATATGAATCACTCTGTTGTTTGAAGAAACTTTGTGGATACTGAAATTTTCGGGATCATGAACAATTAATTTAGTTGAAAATATTAATTAATAATAATTAATTTTAAGGTAGTTTGACTATGCCATTAAACTAATTAACAAATTGTTTTAAAGAAAATTATTTCATGAGATATGATATTAAAAAATATATACCTTGATATAGAGAGATTGAAAAAAAAATACAATAGCTCTTTTTATACATATTTAATTTCTATATAACATTTTGTGTGAACTATTATTTGGTATTAGTTGTTAATTATATAATATAATAGAAATAAAATATAATTACACTTTACAAAAATTATTGTAATGATTTTCTACTAAGTACCAAAAAACTGCGCGGAAAACGTTACTAATAGGATGGATTAACGTGAATGAAAAAAAATTAGTGATATATTTTTGCAACTAAAAATAGAGGGAAAATTAGAAATTTTTTATTAAAAATTTTCTCTACGATATATGTACCTGTGTGTGCGCGTGTGGATAATATAACATAGGTTATTGGATTGGGGATTTTCCTTAATTTCAAACTCTGAGATGTTTGGATACAAAATTTATCCAAAAAATCCAAACATTTTTAACTCAATCACTTTTTTTAACTCAACTTTAACTCAACCCAACTATCATTAATATTATTAATATAATTAAATAATATCAACCAATCATTCTTACATATCACATCAACCTTAATTCATTATTCATCCACTCACATAATTTTAACTAACCATCATTTCAAATCTCTCTCTCATACTTTTACATCAAATCAACTTTAATTATTTTATTTTAAATATTATTTTAATATAACCACTAACAACTAACTATACCACCTTTTTCAAAATTAACTAAACTAAACCAAAAAATCCAAACAAATCCATAAATTTTTATATCTAAGCATCCTCTTAATATTCCAATCACAATTTTTTTTTTTGTGAGACAAGCTAATTATTTGGCGGATGGACTCATCAAAAGTATCACATATTGTTATAAAAGTGTAAATTTGTCGAAAAAATATGTCGCCTAATGACTAGCCCGATCCAACCTATTGAATTTATATTTGTAATAGTAAATTCCTTATATAGATTAATGCAAATAATATTCAATGAAACTGTATATATTGATATAAACCTATATGAAAAATTATGCTCCGGACGAAGGTAGTTATTAAAATAGAATTTCAAATGATTTAAGTTATTAAAGTAGAATTTCAGATGATTAAATTAAATAAGTCATTTCAAGGTTTTTAAAATAATAAGTAATATATAAAATCCGTCTAGTGAATTAAAATTCTTCAAATTCTATTATCATAACACAATTTGAGCTTGAAATTTTAAAATTCATTAATATAAAATCCTCAATGTAATGCCTCAATTTGTATTTTGTAGAATAAATGAAGTTCATTAAAGAATGAGTACCAAACTCGTACAAGGATTGTCTTTAAAAAAAAAAAAAACACCACGCGCTCTTCTCCCCAGCTCATAAAGATGCAGAACACAAATCACACGTGGTCGTGACCTGCGGTGATTGGTCGTAAAACGGTGCATAAGGACAAAACGGGGAATTCACAAAGCAAAGGGAAAACCAAAAATGGCGTAATATTTTGCATGTGTATATAAAGATAGGCCAAAAACCAGCAGACGCTTGGCGACTTGGCGTGGCGGTGTGTCGCCACCTCTCTCTTCACTCCATTTTCCCAAAAATAAAAAATAATTATAAAAAGGAAAAATCACTTTAGAGGAAAATTCACTCTTATCTATACATGCATTCACTCAACCATTCCAAGTTTCAATTTTGGAAAAATTCCAAAACATAAAAAAAGAAAAGAAAAACAAAATCCAATTTTTTGTAATCTGCAAGATTTACTTGTGATTTTTGTATAATTTTCAGTGAGGGCTTATGGAGGGTTTTAGAAAGGGTTTGTGTTCTTGGTGGAAAACGCCGGCACCGGCGCTGACGAGGGTTTTGTGGTTTTTGGTGCCGCTGATGGTGGTTTCCGGTTTCGTGGTCCTGCTGGGCTCGGGCTCGCCGGGCTACTATCCGTGGCCATGGAATTCTGTTTTGTCGCCAGCTGGCCCGTCCCGTTTTTCCGGCGGTCTCAAGGGCTTTTCTCCGCCGTCGCAGGATCTGGAGCTGCGGCGGAGGGTGGTTGCCGGCGGCGGGGAGTTGAGGGAGGATGCCCTGGCGGTTGATTACAGCCTCCACACCTCCTCGGCGGCTCCGCCGCTTGCCGCCGCCGCTGATATTAGAGAGGCGGAGCCACCGGTAACAACTTTTACATTTTCTCCTTTGTTTTATTAAAAAAAAAATGTATATTTTTTATTGATCTATGAATTTTAATCTTATAACAGTAAAAATGTAATTAATTTTTTGTCCAATACTTATGTTTGAAATTGTACGAATCATCCATCGAGATTTTTCCATAATTGTGTTCTTGATTTGTGGCATTGTTTTTGGAACTTATTCTTGAAAAGTTGTTAATCTGTGTAAAATAGAATGTGTTAATTAATCTGGATTAGTGACTAATTGTTGGTGTCATTCCAAATTTAAATTTTTACCATATGAAAAGGATGTAGAATCTTATAGAATGTTAAATAAAATTAAAATCTCGGAAGATTTATGTGACATTTTAAGGGCTATTAGCCTATTATATTACTACTATATATTAATGAAAACACTAGCTAGGATTTTAAGCTTGCCATTTAATTTTGATAAAATAATAGGACAGACACCGAGGGTTCAACCTATTTTTTAGCTGGAGTCTAGGTTAGGTTCACATAATTCCCCTTAGTTAATTATTTGGCCCAAAAATTAAAGATTATATATCAAAATTCAAAGCCCTAAAATATTAATTAATAACTTAACTCAAAGTCAAAATTGATATTTTGTTGAGCTCCATTGATATGATTTTTTTTAACAAAATTAGAATATTTATGGGCCAATTACTAGAAACAAACATTATTATTAGGTATGATTATCCAGACATAGAGCATTTTCAAAAAAAGTAGGTAGAAGAAAATTGCCCAGAAAAGTGGGAAATTCTTCCCCATCATTTTTTTCCTGTGTTCAATTAATGCAGTGATACGTACCTACAATCATTAATTAATAACCCTCCATCTACATTCTTAAATTGATAGAAGCCCATAGATTGCAATAAATTCTTTTTGACAATAGATTCTTCTACATAAGCAATTATAGTCACTTTATCTATAAAAAACAACCAATCATAAAAAAGAGCACATAGAAGCTTAAACAAAATTCCTTTACTTGCTGCATAATATATCATCTCAGCTCGATTATTATGTGGCCAATTTTTGTTTATGGAGTTGATAGTGACGGTAGATTAGATATATGTCATCACTAACGATGAACAATGTTGCGGTTCTAATCGATTTTTTTAGTTTTGCCTAAAGTTTTTCTATACATTTGCATTCAATTTGGTAAACGTGCGAAAAATAATAATTGAACCGCATGGCAGAAAAAACCGAATCAAAACCGAACAAAAAAACTTCAACACTGAACCGAACCGCATTGCACGGTTTGGCTCGGTTTTTTGGGTTTGCCTCGGCTTCGCTCACTTGCTCACCACATGCATTAATGTGCCTCAACTTTCATCAGATTTTACATTTAGACTTAAATTTCAAGTAAAAAACAGGTGGAGAAGAAGGCAGAGGAACTTGTGATCACAACCAATAGATCCAGCGTCAAACTCCCATCAAATGCAACTCAACTGCTTCCATCAAGTCGAGAAATAAAAAGGAAATTTAGCGAATTGCAGATTATGGAGGCCAAGTTGCAGAAATCTCGAGCCGCAATTCGAGACTCACAAAACGGTAAAGCAACTTATGACCACGAGTACACTCCCACTGGTCCTGCCTATTGGAATCCAACTGCTTTCCACAGGTAGTAATGAATTTGTTAGTAAATTATAAGTTATGAGACATTGTATAATCGGTATGACATGCTTATGTATATATGGGCTGAAAATTGAAATTAATTAAATTTAACTACTAATGTTCTACAAAAATTCATATATTGTAGCTAATAATGTGTTCACAATATATATATCAGGAGCTATCATGAGATGGAAAAGCACTTCAAGGTATTTGTATACGAGGAAGGAGAACAACCGATATTCCACAACGGCCCTTGTGGCAGCATTTATTCAATGGAGGGAAACTTCATCTCCAAGCTCGAAACATCGAATTTCCGAACGCGGGACCCGGGTAAAGCTAGCGTTTTCTTCCTTCCCTTCAGCGTGACATCCATCGTCCACTTCATATACGACAAAAACTCCCCCGATCATTGGCTCCCGATGAAACAAACGGTCAAGGACTACATCAATCTTGTTGCCGCTAAATACCCGTATTGGAACCGAAGCCTCGGTTCGGACCATTTCATGCTTTCTTGCCACGATTGGGTACGTAACCCCGCATAGAAGGTTAGGCAAAATTTCAATTTTGGTCTGTTTATTTGTAAAAGTTCTTTTTGATACACTAACTTTCCTCTTTATCAAAAATAAAAAATAGTGTGTGATGCTGAAATTTGTATTATTTTTGGGACATTACTCATAAAAAATAGGACATTATGTATCATGTTTGTGTATCATTTTTGGGACATTAATCCTAAAAAATAATGAACCATTTTTGGGATTAATGTCCCAATAATAATACAAATTGCAAGATGAGAAAAAAGTTAATGTAAAAAAAAAAAGACTTTAGATAAGTAAACAGACCAAAATTAAATTCCTGCCTAGAAGGGTACCTATCAAATTCAAAATTAATCTTTATTTTTTCAAGTAGGGGCCTGAACTCTCGAAATCCCTCCCCGAGCTATTCAACAACTCGATCCGCGCCCTCTGCAACGCAAACACCTCGGAAGGCTTCCTTCCCGAGAAAGACGTCTCCATACCCGAAATCAACCTCCCGGGCGGGCGGACAACGGGCCTCGTCGGCGGCCCGTCCCCATCCAAGCGCCCGATCCTCGCATTCTTCGCGGGTGGGGTCCACGGGCCCATCAGGCCCGTTCTCCTCGAGCACTGGGAGAACAAGGACCCTGAGGTGCGGGTCCACAAGTACCTCCCGAAAAACGTCTCGTATTCGGCCATGATGAGGAAGAGCAAGTACTGCATTTGCCCGAGTGGGTATGAGGTGGCGAGCCCGAGGATGGTCGAGGCCTTGTACACGGGCTGCGTGCCGGTGATCGTGAAGGACCATTACGTGGCGCCTTTTAGCGATGTTTTGAGATGGAAGTCGTTCTCGGTTGAGATAGCGGTGGGTGAGATTAGCAACTTGAAGGGGATCTTGAACGGGATATCGTCGAGGCAGTATATAAGGATGCAGAGGAGAGGGGTCGCGGTTAGACGGCATTTCGAGGTTAATTTGCGTCCCAAGAGGTACGATGTTTTTCATATGGTGCTGCATTCGGTTTGGCTGAGGCGGTTGAACGTACGGCTGAACGGAGTCGAGGATGATTAGTGATCGGAATTTGTATGGGATTGTGCTGTGTTGTGGGCTTATGGTTGTTGGGAGTTCGGGGTGGTCGGTGTATGATTGATTTGTCNTAGTACAATGCACCTTAAAAAGGGAAAAAGTTATGCAACAAAAATTGAATAATAAATAAAGTTTATATTGTCATTGTGAGATAAAAAATGTAAAAGAATTTGCAATATTGTCATATTTTAGAAAACATGTCAAATGAAATATTATTTGTTCTGATTTAAATATATTTATTCTTTTTCTCAAAATTAAATGAGTAACTAATTTATTCGACTACTTATGTCATACATTTGAGATTGAATGTGGATGAATTCAAAATATGTAAAAAGATGTGCAAGTGATAAAGAACGACGAATAATATCTATGCATAAGTCTGTACAAAATAGAAAGAGGGACATAATTCGAACGAGATAACCAATTATTTGCCTGAAACCTGAGTCGCTTGGGTTAAGTTAAACACTGATGGAGCATTTGATCGACTTACTGGAGTTGCAGGAGGAGGGGGCCTGATTAGGGATCATAGCGACGCCCTTATTGCCGCGTTCCATGCCCCTCTTCGGGCCTCCTCGAGCTATGACGCGGAGGTTCAGGCGCTTCAGATTGGTCTGCAGATCGCCGCCTCGATCTCCTCTCACATTTGGATAGAGTTGGACGCGGCCGCTGTCATCACTCTTTTGTCATCTGGACATCAGGGCACGTGGCAGATCCAACATCCTCTCATGCGCATCAGAGCCACTCTCCAGTCGATTCACTCTCGGATCTCGCACATATTCCGCGAGGGGAACCGACCAGCTGACTTCCTCGCTGGCATCGGGTCCTCCACTCCCCACAGACGCATTCTTTATCCTGACGACATTCCTATTCGCCTTCGCGCTCTCATACGGATGGACCAGATGGGATACCCTTCATTCAGATTTGTGTAGCCGGACCTACCTTTTGATGCTGACTCTCTAGCCGGGACCCTCCCTCCGGAACATGATCTGTTATTTTCATATTTCCCACTGCAGTTGTCAGATTTTATTTGTATTTTTTCTTTTATTTGTTGTTTTTAGTTTTTCGTTTGACTGGATGTATATCAGACATTGGACTTGTAGTTTGTGACTTTTTGGCCCATTTAGGGCACTTTATATACAGGTTGGGGGTTCTGCCTTAACCCCCCACCCTACTGGGGTTTTGGTTTTTTTTTTTAAAAAAAAAAACCAATTATTTGCTATAAACCTGTTTAGATGATTAAACACGTTGCGAAAGGAAGAGGGCGATGACGGATTTAATGTAGACCTAATGAAAAGTTTGGTCCAAGAAGCATAAAGGTTGATCTTAATTGGCCCAAGTAGTGCAAGATTCAAATCAGCCCATCTTAGTTCAGTGACCCTCTCTAAACAAAAGCAAACAAACAAAAAAAAAAGAGTAAGAAAGAAGGTGAGAAAGCGCGAGGCATGTTTGCTTCAAGCGGGTGGTGAGGGACACGTACTGCAATTTAATATAGCCCGGCAAAGATCAGGAAAGACCTAGTTATTTATAAGAAAAGATCAGGAAAATCTCGGCAAAGTATTTGGATGCCTGATGCTTTACGACGAGGGGTCGGGAGGACCCATGTTGTTCCTTGTTCTGATATTTCACAACGACAGGTTTGGAGAACCTGACAAGTCTTTTCGAGTTTTGATGTTTTATGGCGAGAGGTCGAAAGGACCCGACAAGTCGCCTCGAGCTCAAAAAGCTTTATGTGGAAATGTCACGATTACCCAACAAGTCCTATTGTAGCCCGATTATTTTATCAGAGAAGTGGGCTCGAAGAGAAACCTAGCGCCCTAGAATAGAGGTCGAAAAGACTCGACGAAACGTTATGTGCCCCAGGTACATAATTTAATCTCTACTCTTTTTTCTGTTTTGAATCATCATGTTCAACTATTATAATTCCCGTTGGATTATTTTTTGAAAAGTATCAATTGCTTGCATTTTGTTGGTAAAACATTATTGTGGTGTTATAATAATGAGTAAAAGTCGAGCTCATAAACTCGATGGTTAAAAAACACAAGGTGGCAGAAACCCGAGCAGACGAGCTCGGGGGGCCACAGGTGCAAAATAAGTGCAAGGTTGACCCGGACCCATAGGTGCTTGCAAAGATGCAAGGCTGAGCATAACTTCAAGTTGGTTGGCTTGGGGGTCCATGGTTGAGAAAATTTTCGAGCTAGTTGGGTCGGGGCTCCATGGTTGGGCAAAATTCTGAGCTGGTTAGCTCGGTGGTCCATGGTTGGTCAGCACTATTAGTTTGTTGGCATGGGGGTCCATGGTTGGGCATAAATCCGAGCTGATTGACTCGGGGGTCCATGGTTGGACAGAAACTCCGAGTTAGCTGTCTTGGGGGTCCATGGTTGGGCAGAACTCCGAGCTGATTGGCTCGAAGGTCCATTGTTTGGCAGAACCTCGAGCAAACGAGCTTGAGTGCCATAAGTTTAAATTTGGCAGAACCTCAAGACAGAACCTTGAGTTGTTAGCTCCAGGCCTAAGTCAAAGAAGGCAGAACCTCGAGAGGACGAGCTCGGGGGTCATAAGTTTAAGAGTGAATATTCATTCCTAAGCTCATTTTGGGGACGTTATCAACTCAACGCACTGGGACATAATGACCGCAAATAATTATAGCAGCGCATCCAGTGACGGAGCCAAGATTTTCACTCAGGGGGGGTCCAATTTTAAATGTTAAATAACGATTTTGTAGTTTACGTAAAAAGGCGCATTTCATATAGAGTTGTGTTTACTTATAAATATAGTGTACCATCAAATTTTTAAAAATTTAGAATCCGTATAAAAAAAAAAAAAAGAGATTTCGTGTATTTATAATTTAAGTTTAAGGTCTATAATTTATGAAAAAATAAGTTTTTTTGTCTAAAATTTGATTTACATTGAACTTTTGCAACACATTGCATAACAATTTTTGTTGATGAAAATTTATCGAATGACCATTTTATTAATAAAAAATAAATAAAGTTGAAAATATGTGATTACATTAAAACATAAAAAATCAACATTCAAATATACAATCGATCAACATTCAAAAATCTAATAATCCTACTAAATTCTAGGTTTTACAAATCATTAAATTGATTTACAATTAAGAGGCCGAAAGAGTAAATTAATATATCATTTTCAAAAATATATCTAGAAATGTAAAATACAAAGATTGTTAGTATACTTTTTAATAAATAAATAATATTATTACTTTAAATTAAAATAGCATTGAAAATAAGTTTTAATTATTTATATATTCTACATGTTTTTTTTTTATATTTTTATTTATATTTTATAGTATTTTTTTATTTGTATATAACTATATATATAATGATTTTTTTTAAAAAAAATGAGGGGGCCCATGGACCCCCATGGACCCCCATGGACCCCATGTAGGTCCGTCATTGAGCGCATCATATAAACGCTATCATTTACCAAAATATCGAGTATGTCATCATAATAAATATGAATCACCCTTGGTAAATCAAATAAACAAGTAATGTATATATATGCCTATTTATTACATTACGGATCAATTACTGAAAGTCTAGATTATTTAGCCAAAGTATTAAGATAATCTTATCCTTCCGCGGCCCGTTCAATACTTAACATAAGTACTAGTGTAATCCATCAGTCAAAGAGCAACTGAATCAAAATTGCACTACAACCTTTTTCCAACAGGGTGCTCAATTCTGTCTAGACTATGAACATTTAATTTATTTCACAAGGAACCGATAATATGATCTTTCTGTTCGACACATCGAACCATACTATCTACAATGTAAAATAAAGGGAATTATGATTGCATAAATAAATAAACTTGTAAACATAAATACTTTGACTAAAAGATGATTGCCTGATCAAAATTGAATTGCTAGAATATGAAAGCTAATATTTTATAGTATATCCTAACACTTCTTGAGCTCACTTTGGGACGTCATCAACCTGGACTTTCCCGAGATACGGTGACTGTAAACAATATTGACGGCACATCATGCAGCCGACATTACTTACCAAAATATCGAGTATTTCGACCTACTAGAATACGTCTCATCCTTGATAAATTAAATAAGTAAGTGTCGACTACATATGCCCGTACATTGTCTTACGAGTTAAGAATACCCAACACATAATGAGGTCAAGATTATTTACTTGGTCAGTATAAAATAATTTTATCCTCATGTGGGTCGTTCAATACATCTGAGAGGTACTAATGTAATCCATTAGTCTAAGATCAACTAATTCCAAGATTCATACTACAATCTTTCACGGCCAGAGAGTTCAATTCCTGTCTAGATTATGAGCCATAACTTATGTTTTACAAGGCACCGATAATATGATCTTACTATTCTAGACCTGGAACCATATTATTTACTGTTGGTATGGCTCATATATTGACAAAAGAAGGAGGCAGGCTGATGCCTGCGATCGTAGCGGAGCGAGCGTAGCAAGGGAAGCGGAGCGAGCGTAGCGAAGGAAATGGAGCGAGCAGGCATCAGCCCCAGTAGGGTTATATCATAAATACATGGTGTATTGATGTATTTGAATTATTGAGAATAATAAAGAGATCGCTCCTCTGCCGTGGACGTAGACACAATTCTGAACCACGTAAATCTTGTGTTGTTTACTTCCTGTCTTTAATTCGTATTGTCATCGTTTCACAACAATTGGCATCAGAGCGCCAGGTTGATTGGGCGACGGAAATGACGGGAGGATCGAAATTCGAGGTTTTGAAATTTGATGGTCATGGCAATTTTGGATTATGGCAGACGAGAGTAAAAGATTTATTGGCGTAGCAAGGAATTCAGAAAGGGCTGCGCATAGAGAAGCCAAAGGGGATGGAAGACGATGATTGGTAAGATCTGCAAGAACGGGCAGCTGGGACGATTCAGCTGTGCCTTGCAGATGAAGTTATGTATCGCGTTATGCATCTCAAATCGGCGGATGAGATCTGGAAGAAACTGGAATTGCAGTTTATGTCAAAAACCCTAACGACAAAACTGTATCTGAAGCAGAGGTTATACGGGCTGAAGATGCAGGA